TTAGCTATAATCTTCGAGATACACTTGTAGATGGTTGAGTAGCATGAAATAGGTCTATAGTCAGATAATTTTATGGGGTTGGGAACTTTTGGTACAAGGGAAATAATGGTAGAGTTCATCTCTTTCAATAATGTCCCAGAATTGAAAAATGAGAGGACGACATCTATTACTTCGTTCCCAACAATATGCCAAGCCTTCTTAAAAAAACAAGTAGGGTAGCCATCAGGACTGGGGACTTTGCCATCTTTCATAGAGAACATGGTTTGTTGGACTTCTTCTCTTGTGACATTCTGCACCATAGAATCTTCTTGTGCCTGTGTGATGCTATTACTAATGAAACTTCTCACCCATTGCATGTTCAGACCAAATGGGGGAGAGGGAGAGCCAAGTAGCAGTTTGTAATACTGGACCACCTCCTTCTTGATGTCTTCAAAATCATCAGTTCTAGTTCCATCTTCTTTTTGAATAACAGTGAGCCTTCTGTGGATTCTCTATTTGTAATGGATTTAAAAAAAAAACCAGAATTTTGATCACCAAGGTTTAGCCACTGGATCCTTGATTTTGGCTTTAGGAAGGTCTCCTCTGCTTCCCTAAGCTCTATGTACTGTTGGAGCTTCTCTTTCTCAATGATCCAAAGTGCTTGGTTATTTGGATTTCTATCAGTCAATTTTTGAATATCTTCAAGAGCTCGCTTGGCATCCAGAACTCTTTAAGAAAGATCACTATAATTCCTCTTATTTAGCTCTTTCAACTCTTTCTTTAGTAACTTCAATTTTTGACATACTTTGAACATTGAAGTGCCCCTCAGTGGAGTATTCCAAACTCTCAAAACAGTAGGAAAAAAATGTTGATGTTTTACCCAAAAATCAAAGAATTTAAAGGGCCTCCTCACCCTAGGAAGTCCAGCTCCCAGCTCTTTCTTGTGTATATTTTGTTACTTGCTATTGGTATGATCTGTGAAGTAGAACATGAGAACATAGGCTCAATAAGTGTATGATAATCTAACCATTTAAAACTGAACCCTAAAAACATCTGAAATAGGATCCTACATTAAATATCATAGGATAAACCCACTTCAAAGAAAAAATTGATGCCCAGATAGAAATAAAAAGCAAGGAAGATGAATTTTCCAAATGCTGACAAATAGCCTTTCAGACGGCTCCTTTTAGGATTTCTCAAGTGGGTGCAACTCAACCTAAACTAAGTGAACTTGTAAGCCAGATCTTTGACAAGATTAGAGGCAAAGAAAGCAGTGAAAAAGGATAGATTTGATGATGTTGAGCACTATGGGGTACTAATAAGCTTATAACAGGAAAACTTTTTCCGCACCAACTTCTGTTGATGTCTGAAGAATGAAATAAGGGAAAGGCATACTGCACAAAGCTATTAGAGTGTTTTGAACAATTGTGTAGTGCATCAGCCTACAGTATGCTTTGGTTGATTGGAGCACCTCAAATCAACCTATTGCATAATTCTTCCATTTTTCTATTATTGCCTTTGGTAGGTGCTGATTCACCGTGGGTGCGAGCATAAAAATCCAAATATACAAAATAATGGTAAGACTACTTATCACTTATCTCTCTAATTTCTTGCTATCGGTCACAAGTCGTGTATTACTAAATATAAATACGAGAGTTTATTGTAATTATTTCATATTCAAAGTGGCAAAAACTTCATACAGACCTCTAGGGTCCTGAATCCTAATTTCTTAGAAATTGTCTCTTAACTATTCAAAGTTTACTGTAATAGTAGATAATTGAAATTGCCTACACAAACTATTGATTTTTTTTAATTTGATCCCCTTCCATCCTAGACTGTATTTTCCTTCGGATTTTCTAGCTCCGCCCCAGCATATAAAGTAGGCCTCATGAAATTGGAGTTTCATACATAGTTCAATGAAGTTTAATGTTCATGCAGCCCAGAAACAAATATGTCACTCTCCCTCTCTCTCTGCATGTTTATGAATTAATTTTAACTGTAATACAGCCACTTGCAATAAAGAATGTGGATTCTCTTATTCCAACACTGTTTGTGTATTCTTAGTTCAGCCTTGTATTATTTGCCACTCAAAGACATGACCTCACCCAGCAAACATTTTCATGAATTAAGCGGCATTCCATTTAATTTTCAATTTTATATAGCTAAGAAAATATCTTTTACTAAGGTCTAATATCTTGCTCAATTTCAATATTTTGATATGTGGTAATGTTGTACTCTTAATAGCTTGATTCGTCTTTAAGAGATTTGGGTATCTCTGATTTTTAGTCAAATCAGACACTTATAAATGATCAATGGAAGTGTTTCATTTCTTGATGGATTTTAATTGATTGTCTGATGCATTTCTATATATAAGCTCATCTATTGCATGGTTATGTCATTTTGTGTGAAAATTTATACCCTCTAATTCCTAATTCCATTTGGCATGATTCCATTGAAATGAGCTCAATCCTAAAGCATTGGATTTCGTTCTTCTTTGACCACTTATTATGTAGTAAAAGTTTAGTGGGTCAAATTTTAAGTATATATCGTTATCTTTAAGCTGTTGCTTTAGTGTTCTGTCCTTATTCCCAAAACGCTTGAATGTGGCTGGCGTGTTTCAAATTTTGGAGCCTTTGATGATGCCCAAGTCTGCTAACGATTATGTCGTCCTTGAATGAGAAAGCCTAATTAATTATGATGTCATCTAAGAGCTAAATTGTTGTGGTAAAATTAATGAATTGGTGTGCGGGTGCGCATGTGTGTCAAGGAGCATTCCTTCAGTTTGTGAGATGTACGTACATATCAGTTACATTAGTTTTTGAGTAATACATTGGAATTCGAGTGTGTCGATGTTTATGATTGCTTTGAAAAATACTAAATTTAACGTCAATTCAATGAATTTTCATGTAATTTCTTTGTCTGAAATTCTTAAATGTTTGTCATATACCCATGACAATGAAAATACTTATAATAGACGTCTCTAATATCTTCTAATTTATCTTAAATAAATATAGCAATTGAATACCTCATATAGGAACAAAAATATTATGTAGTAATTTTATTACATTTATTATAATTCAAAAATATATTTTTCATATTATGGTGAGTTAATTATTTAACAAATTGATTCACATGCATCGCACGTGTACATCAATTAAACCCCACATCGAAAAAATTCAATACCGATCTCATGTTTAAGATCATGTGAGGTTGTTTGTTTCACACAAAAAAAATATATATATATATATATATATAGAGAGAGAGAGAGAGAGAGAGATATTGACATGTGGTTTCAATTAATAAGCTCCCTCAAATTTTGATGTAGAAGAGATTAATAGATTGTTGTAATTTTAAGCCATTGATTGTAAGAAGTAGAATCCAATTAAAATTATTCTGTTGTAGTAAAAACTAATTTTAACACAAACTTTTGTAAGCGGAAAAGAATCTTCCACCTAGATCTTATGTTCGTCTTGGTCCTTCAATGAGTCGAATTCCCTACAAAAATGAACAAACTGTCTAGAACCAAAGTGCTTTAGTCAAAGGCATTTCGATGCTTAAATTAGTAATTGAAAATAAGGAACTTTATAATTTGGAAAAGTTCTGCGTACCTTTACTGTTTACCCTTGTGGGTTTATATAAGTCCCAACGAATCCTTCACTTTGGAGAGATTGGCACATTCCCCTTTGATTCAGCTTTAACTATTGGGTTTCCCCTAGGTCTCTTCCACCACTCCCTTGATCTTAGCTCATTAGTTGTTTAGATTGATCCAACTGGTATAGTTGGATCCCTTGAATTTAGCCTGTGATCATGTTGCTTGGTTCTTATCTTGATCTGACCGAATCTTTCTGCTCGGTCACTCCACCGACCAAACCAGTTCGGCTCGGTGTTAAAAGTACATTAGCCCTCACATGACCTTCACGTGACTATTCTTATGTGGCATATTCTCATGCCCCTTCACTTGCCCCCATGAAGCGCATGTCAGATGTCATTCGTCCGACAGCCGCTTCATGCTCTCAAGTTCATGATTGCATGGGCTTTCAAGACACGCAACTGTCTCTTTTTATTAAATGCCCGTCCTTTGGCTTTTTGACTTCCCTTCTTTCTCAATATAAAACGTTTCAATTTTACTTCATCCAAAACTTTATTCCTCCTCTTCTCCTTCACCTTGTCTTTCTTGAAACTTTCTACACTCACCCTCCCAAATGGCACCTCTTACTACATAAGGCATTCCAGCGTTTAGGAGCAAATACGATATTCCTGACAACATTCAAATTCGCATTGCAAGTGAGGACGAGCCATTGATTGGAACTAGGAAATCAATCCCCAGTCATATAAGGGCCATTACTGAGGGCGGTGTAAGATTTCCATTGCACCCTCTATTGCTCTGGGTTCTTGCAGCCACTAAGTTTTGTCCTATTCAATGCTGCCCTAATTTTTTTAGAATTATTATGGGTGTCACTGCTCTGAACAATCTTCTAAACGTGAACTTGGGCCTCTGTGAATTTGGTCATCCATCTCCCAGACTCAAACAAGGGACATTAGAGTGATATTATTTTTATTTCTAGCAACTGGGAGTATGGGGCAAGGGAAACGCCTTCTTACCGATGCTCGTATAAAAAGGGCACACCAGGTATATGCCAATTTATATTCATGGCTTTTCTTTCTCGTTCTTCTTTAAAATATGTACCTCCTAACTTGACGTTTATCCTCATTTAGGAGAAGCTATCAAGGGCAAGGTTTCCGAGAGTTCAGTGAAGATGGAAGATCTAAAAACGGAATGGTCCTACAACGAAGGGGTCTTCTGTCGAGTTGCACATGTTTTACTTGGTTATACTCCCATATACCACTCTTTCATTGATGTCCCCGATTGGCCCAATGCCACATTCGCCGAAGACTGAGCCGAGCTTCAAGCACAACGTGCTGCCACCCCCCGTCCTCGACAAAAAGTGACTGCTCCTTCTAGACGATCTAGACCAATTAATAACTTCTTAAATCTTCTTTGTTCCGATGAACACGGTGAGGCTACTTCTTCGGCTTTGCCTATCCCTGCTGAGGCCGCTTCCATACCCGTCTCATCAATTGATCTTACTCTCGATACTGATCGCACCCCCACCCCTGCTGATCTGCTAGTTACTTTTGATGCTTCTATTCCTTCTACTGCTAGTCTGCCTACCATACCAGAAACCAAAGCTCCAATTCCTGATCCCCCAATTAATCCAAAGATAGTTATTCCTTTTTTCATCGAGATCATTGTTCTGCAAGTTGCATCCCTTCCTCGACCAATTGATGTCGATCCTGAAGAGAAAACAACTAAAATGAGGCAACTTGAGTCTCCTGATCGGTCACAGAATCTTTTTCGGCCCATACTTCGGGCAAAGGGTAGAGAAATTTCAATTAGAGACTCAGCTACTGAGGACATGAATGTGGTAGTGGGGATTGCCAGGAGCGTGATTCTGCCTTAGCTCATTAGTTTTTTAGATTGATCCAACTGGTACAGTTGGATCCCTTGAATTTAGCCTGTGATCATGTTGCTTGGTTCTTATCTTGATCTGACCGAATCTTTCTGCTCGGTCACTCCACCGACCAAACCAGTTCGGCTCGGTGTTAAAAGTACATTAGCCCTCACATGACCTTCACGTGACTATTCTTATGTGGCATATTCTCATGCCCCTTCACTTGCCCCCATGAAGCGCATGTCAGACATCATTCGTCTAACAGCTGCTTCATGCTTTCAAGTTCATGATTGCTTGGGCTTTCAAGACACGCAACTATCCCTTCTCATTAAATGCCCGTCCTTTGGCTTTTTGACTCCCCTTTTTTCTCAATATAAAATGTTTCAATTTTAATTCATCCAAAACTTTATTCCTCTTCTTCTCCTTTGCCTTGTCTTTCTTGAGACTTTCTACACTTACCATCCCAAATGGCACCTCTTACTGTAAAAGGCATTCCAGCGTTTAGGAGCAAATACGATATTCCTAACGACATTCAGATTTGGATTACAAGTGAGGACGAGCCATTGATTGGATCTAGGAAATCAATCCCTATTCATACGAGGGCCATTACTGAGGGCGGTGTGAGATTCCCATTGCACCCTCTATTGCACTGGGTTCTTGCAGCCACTAACCTTTGCCCCATTCAATGTTGTCATAATTTTTTCAGAATTATTATGGGCATCGCTGCTCTGAACAATCTTCTGAACGTGAACTCGGGCCTCTGTGAATTTGGTCACCCATCTCCCAGACTCAAACAAGGGACATAAGAGTGATATTATTTTTTATTTCTGGCAATTGGGAGTATGGGGTAGGGGAAATGCCTTATTACCAATGCTCGTATAAAGAGGGCACACCAGTTATATGTCAGTTTATATTCATAGCTTTTCTTTCTCGTTCTTCTTTAAAATATGTACCTCCTAACTTGACATTTATCCTCATTTAGGAGAAGCTATCAAGGGTAAGGTTTACGAGAGTTCGGTGAAGATGGAAGACCGGAAAAAGGAATGGTCATACAACGAAGGGTCTTTTGCCGAGCTGCACATGTTTTACTTGGTTATACTCCCACATACCACTCTTTCATTGATGTCCCTAATTGGCCCAATGCCACACTGGCCGAAGACTGAGCCAAGCTTCAAGCACAACTTGCTGCCACCCCCCATCCTCGACAAAAAGTGACTGCTCCTTCTAGATGATTTAGACCAATTAAGAACTTATTGAGTCTTCTTTGTTCCGATAAACCCGGTGAGGCTACTTCTTCGGCTTTGCCTATCCCTACCGAGGCCGCTTCCATACCCATCTAATCAATTGATCTTACTCTCGATACTGATCACACCCCAACCCCTTCTGATCTGCTAGTTACTTTTGATGTTTTTATTCCTTCTATTGCTGGTCCGCCTACCATACCAGAAACCAAAGCTCCAGCTACAGATCCCCCAATTAATCCTAAGATAGTTATTCCTTTTTCCGTCGAGATCATTGTTCTGCAAGTTGCATCCCTTCCTTGACCAACTGATGCTGATCCTGAAGAGAAAACAACCAAAAGGAGGCGGCTTGAGTTTCCTAATTGGTCACAGAATCTCTTTCGGCCCATACGTCGAGCGAAGGGTAAAGAAATTTCAATTAGAGACTCAGCTGCTGAGGACATGAATGTGGTAGTGGGGATTGCCAGGGCGTGATTTTGCCACGCGATCTTGCAATGAACGAGGCATCATCTGATGACAAAATTACTCGACAAGCTTTTAGCAAATGGTTCTGGTATCTACCTTGTCTCTATCCTTTTCCTTCTTTTGGACTTTTCCTATGTACTTACTCCTTTCTCATTGTCCCACAAAAAGGGTCTGCAAAAGGTGCATGAGGTGGCAGCTAAGATTGCAAAGAAGGACAAGGCCATGAAGGAAGCGATTCACGACCATCTGTCTGCCTTGGCCAAAAAAGAATTTGCTGATGAAGAATATTCAAAGCTCTGCGAAGAAACACTTCTCCTTTAGGCTCAATCCCTTAGCCTGAAAAATGAGAATGGAAAATTGGTTAAGGAATTAGAAGCTTTGAAGGCTTCAAAGAGCTCCCTTAGCCTGGACTTATCCCAGACTCAGCTTAGGCATTCTTTTTTGTTGGAAGACTTTGATAAACTCAAAGATGAAGTAAAAAGCCTTGAAGATACCGCTTATGACCAGGTCATGGAGAAGGCAGAGAGTGACCTCGCTTTGCAGCTTCCTATACTAAAGAAAGCATATTTTACAAAAGGTTGGGTTGCAGTGCTCAAGGTTGCTAATGTTCCTTCTACATCTGATCTCTATTCACGCCACTCTATGCCTAGCTCTTCTGATCCCCTTCCTGCCCCCTGAAACTTCATGTAAAAGAGAACTTTGGTTGGTTGTTAATGAAGAACCTTATGTTGTTCTAGCAAATTGCGCTTGTAAGTTTTTTTTTTTTTTAGGTTTGGTTCTAGCAACCTAGGCATTATTCGGCCCTTTTATAGAACTAGGTCCCAGCACTCCTGCTAGAGATTTAGAAAACCTTTGCTCAAAATTTGACCTTCCTTGGCATTTCTTTTGGGCAAGGTCCCAACAATCCTACTAGGGACTTGTTTTAACTTAGAAAAATTTGGCTCTAAGAAGTTTTGGCTTTACTCGGCCCTTCTTTAGAGCTAGGTCCCAGCACTCTGCCAAGGACTTGTTTTAACTTAGAAAAATTAGGCTATAAGAAGTTTTGGCTCTACTCGGCCCTTCTTCAGAGCTAGGTCCCAGAACTCCGTTAGGGACTTGTTTTAACTTAGAAAAATTTGGCTCTAAGAAGTTTTGGCTCTACTCGGCCCTTCTTTGGAGCTAGATGTTTCTATAGAGTGCTACATCTAAACCGACATTATCAATGTTTTTGTAGCTTATTCCGTTCGCACCGACCTTACGATCAACTCAAACTCGGACCTCTACCCTTATGGTTTACATTATCATGCCTAACCATGGGTCGAGGTCCAATCAGGTGGTTGCGCCTGAGTCAGGCTCATGCCTCTAAACAGATTTTTTGCCTCACTGCCTTGACAGTAGGATGAGAATGGCAAACATAAAAAGTGAAGGAAGAATTTTTTATTATAAATGTTCCCTCTGTCATAAGAGGATATTTTTTCTTACTTTAAGAATTAACAAAAATGATTGCAAGGGCAATCCCTTACTCTCCAAAGGTACTTTGGAGACCAATGTATTAAAGGCACTTCAAAAATAAAATTTCCTTAAATTAGCTACATTCCACGACCTAGGCACTTTCTTTTGATCCATGGTCTCAATCTCATAAGACGCATTTCCTACTACCCGAACCACCTTGTAGGGTCCTTCCCAGTTAGCTCCTAGCATTCCGTGGGCTAACTCTTTGGCAGCTCCCATCACTTGTCTAAGAACCAAGTCTCCAAGCATAAATGTCCTAGGGCCCACTTTTTTGTTATAAGACCGAGCCATTTGTTGCTGATAGGCGGCAATCTGAACAGCTGATGTCTCTCTTCTTTATTCGAGAAGGTCTAGCTCATAGCATATGGCCGAATCGTTCTTTTCAGTTGTTGCTAGGGCCTTTTTAAGGGTTGGTAACCCTATTTCTAGTGGTATGGCGGCCTCCATGTCGTATGCTAATGCAAATGGGATCTGCCTCATTGCTTGGCATGGTGTGGTTCGATACGTCCACAAGACCCTCCACCTATTTTCCTTTTGCCTTTTCTAGCCTTTTTCTTGATTCCATCCAGTATTCTCTTATTTGATATCTCTTCCTGTCTATTGCTTTGGGGGATAAATTGGTGTAGAATACCGATTCTGAATCCCATATTGTTGGCAGAAAATTCTAAAAGGGCCACTTTCAAACTGAGTGCCATTATCTAATATCAAGACTGCCAGAATTTTGAACCTTGTAATGATATTCTTCCAAATGAAACTTTTGAGTATTTGTATCCCTTATATGGGCTAAAGACTCAGCTTCAACCCATTTCATGAAATAGTCGATAGCGACCAACAGGAAACGTTTATCACTAGGTGCTCGAGGTAAAGGACCTACTATATTGAGCCCCCATTGAGCGAAAGGCCAGGGGCTCGTTAATGAAATCAGATCTCCTGCGGGTTGCCTCGGAACAAGGGAGAACAATTGACATTTTGCGCATCTTTTGACGAACGGTTGGGCATTCTTTTGCATGTAGGGCAACCAATACCCTTAAGACAAGGCTCTGTGCGTAAGCGACCAACCTCCAATGTGGGCACCACAACTTCCCTCACGGATCGCAAATAGAAAGTCCTGCACTAGGTCTGGGTGGACTCACCTTAAATACAGTCCTAAGAAAGAACGTCTGTAAAGTCGTTGCTCGGGTGACAGCCAAAATCTAGTAGACTTAAGTCACAACCTATGTGCCTCCTCCTTGTTCCCAGGGAGGTTTTCTCCCTTAAGATAGTTGACAATTTCATCCATCCAACTAGGTTTTCCTTCGATCATATTTACTACTGATGTTTCCATTGAGCCGATACTCGATATGGCCAAAAAGTCTATTGAGATAGATCTCTTGTCTTCTTTACTTACTGCCAAGGCCAACGACGCTAATGCATCTGTATGCGTGTTCTTTGCATGGCTGACCTAGCTGATAGAGTACCTCAGTATTCGACCGAGTTCTTAACTCACCAGCTCCAAGTACGACATCATTCTTTCATCCTTTGTTAAATATTCCCCCAGGATCTGGTTCACTCTGAGTTATGAATTAGATAATATTCTGAGTTCTACAACATTCAAAATGACTACTAATTTTAAGCCAGCCAACAACAAGGCCTCTTATTTTGCCTCATTGATTGAGGCTTGAAATCTGAGCCTTATTGCTTTCTCGAGTATGTCTCCTTCTAGACTTTCTATCACGATGTTGATTCTTACACCCTTGAAATTTGAAGCTCCATCAACGTATAGGTTCCATTCCTGCCTTTCCTCAAATTCTCCTGGTTTAGGAAAGCTGATGCTTTGTGGCTTCTGGGAGAAAATTCAGCTGTGAAATCAGCAACGACCTGGCCCTTTATCGCTATCCTTGGCTCGAATTGGATATCAAAATCCCTAGGTTCAATGGACTATTTTGATATTCTCCCAGACAGGTCAGCCCTTCTGAACAATGCTTTCAGAGGCTGATCTGTTAGTACCACTATAGTATGTGCCTGGAAGTACTAGCGTAATTTTCTGAGCTAAACTGATTAGTGCAAGCGCTAGTTGTTCTAGGGGGAGATACCTTGTTTCTACGTCCAAGAGCATCCTGCTCACATAATAAATTGGACTCAATCCTTTCTCTGTGTTTTTCATCAAAGCACCACTGACTGCGTGTTCAGAAACTACCAAATATAATAGCAAACGTTCCCCTGGGGCAGGCGTTGCCAAGAGAGGCGATGATGCCAGGTAGGTCCGGAGATCGGTAAAGGCATTGTCGCACTTTTCGTCCCATACTGGATCGATTTTCTTTTTAATTGCATGGAAAAAAGGTCAGCATTTATTAGAGGACTGAGATATGAATCTCCCCAATGCCATTACCATCCCAATCAGCTTCCAAATTTCTTGTATCGTTTTAGGTCACTCTAGATGAGCTAAAGCTAAAATCTGGTCTAGATTCGCCTCAATTCCTCGGTGGGTGACCATGGAACCCATGAACTTTCCAGAACTGACCCGAAAGCGCACTTTGAAGCATTTAGCTTCATTCCAAACTTGCGTAGCACCGTGAAGGTCGTTTTGAGGTTGGTGACATGACCTCCCGCGGCTCGAATTTTCATGATCATATCATCTATATACACTTCTATGAAATCTCCAATCATATCGAAATACATTCTTGTGACCAATCTCTGATGTGTTGCCCCGGCATTATTTAACCCGAATGGCATTACCCTGCAGAAATAAATGCCTTCCGGAGTTATAAATGCTATTTTTTCCTGATCTTGCTTGGCCATGGGGATTTGGTGATATCCTCGATATGCGTCGAGGAAACTCATCATCTCATGCTCAGCTGTTGCATCAATCAGTTGGTCAATCTTGGGCAATGGAAAACAATCTTTGGGACAAGCTTCATTCAGGTCGATAAAATCCAGACACACCCTCCATTTTTTCGACTTCTCTTTCACCACCACCATATTCGATAGCCAAGTCAGGTATTGCACTTCCCTGATGATTCGTGCTTCCAATAACCTTTTCACTTCTTCATTCACTGCGTCCCTATGTTGTGGTGCCAACCTCCTCGGCTTTTGCTTGATAGGCTTGAAGCTTAGGTCTACGTTGAGATCATGATAAGCGACCTCGGGAGGCACTCCTGGCATGTCATTTGCTTCCCAAACGAATATATTCTTATACTCGCATAGCAATGAGATCATGTTTGCACGCTCTACAGCGGTTAGGGAGGCCCCTAACAAAAAATATTTCTCGGTACTACCACCTATGAACTCCTTTGTCAGATCCTCAACTATGCAAGGCGTTGACTCGGCATCCTCGACCTCCCTAGTCAACTACTTCTATAATTGTTATTTCTTTAGATTTCCCTATGTGACGTCGGTATGCCCCTTCACTTTATTTGACGCAAGAAGGCAAGTACATGAACTAACCTGGTCTTCGCATATGTTGATGATTCCACCATCCGCCAGGAATTTAAGCACCTGGTGGTAGGTTAAGGGGACCGCCTTCATCTCGTGCAACCAGGTGCGCCCCATAATGGCGTTGTATCCTGACTCTACATCGACGACTAGAAATTCAGTCATTGTACCGACCAGCCCCAACTGTACTGGAAGGGTGACTTTTCCTTTTGGCAATACCATCTTGCCATTAAAATCCGCTAGGGGAGTGTTAGACGTTACCAGGTCCTCTTTCTTTAGGCCTAGCTTCCTAAATAGACTGAAGTACATAATTGCTAAAGAACTACCTTAATCAATTAATACCCTTCTGATGTTGAAATTGGCGATTCTTATGGTCAACACCAGGGCGTCTTTATGGGGTTGGTGTATCCCTACCAAGTCCTGCTTGGAGAAACTGGTTTTTTCAACTGATTCATCCACCCTCAGCTTCTTACTTACAGCTCACCTCCTGACCTGAGCTGATAAACTTCTCAGGCTTGTGCAGCCAACTTGATGTATGCCCTAGCTGAATTATTAGGCGTCATATGCGGTGTTGCCGAATGTATAACGTCAATGACACCTGCGGGGATTGGTCGGTCTCGAGGGGGGTTGTCGACGTTAGTTTTGGCTTTCTCCCCGCTTTCAATAAACTGGGACAGGTGTGCTACTCGACTATGCCTTTTTAAGACTAATTATATTTTGATGGAGTTTAAATGATGACATTTCAAGACATAAATTGCACAAGGGACCAAAGGCAATGAATATCAAACTTTCGTGCAACACCAGCATATTCTGGAGCAAAATTGGAAAAGCTTGGACCAAAGCAAGAATGTTTGAATGACAATCCACATTCGAATATCCTCTTGAATTATTAAAGATAAGACTGCTGAAGTACTATGCATGGCGTGTTACATCAAAGAAGAAAAAAAATACATAAGTACTTGAGTACAACATTCGAATGTCAATCCACATTTGAATGTGGTCTAGAATTATTGAAGACCAAGTTGATGAGTATAGAGACAGTGATTTATGGCGTATAGAAGTTGCTCTTATAGAAAATCAGAGACCACTTGAGTAGAAAGTTTGAACATTGTCTGGCGTTCGAACGCCCATCAAGCAGAGACAAGAAGAACGTTTGAACGCCAGACAACATTCGAACGTTATCCTCAGACTAGCTGCAGAATGGCACTTGAATTTTGGTGGCCTTGCACTATACTTTCACACTCCCTTGTCCCGTCCTCCTTGCCTATAAATACTCCCATTGTGGGAGCTTTAAAGTAGGTGAAGTAGTTGTAGAATTAGTCTTAGACTTAGGCTTGCATTTTACTTGTATAGAGGAAGATAGATCAACTTTTGGTTGCGGTGAAAATCCTCAAAAAGTGACTAGTTTTCTTCTACTTTTATTGTTAGTTTCTTTCAATTTCATTGCTTGAGCTTCCTTTTTTTCCTTATAGGAGTGAAACTCTTCCATTTTTCTAAAGTTTTACCAAAGCCGTGAAGAGTGGAACGTGATTCACTCATTCTTTGTCGAATATCAGCTCCTCGCTTATTGTGTTTTACCTTGTAAGGCCTCTACTTGGAGGGATTAGCATCACTCACTTTTATAACTTTACCAAAGTCATGAAAAGTGAGTAGTTTCTCATTCACTCTTTAGTAAAAGGTGATATATTTTGTTGTTAAATAAATTAAAATTCAACACATCGATATATATTTTCTATGATAGATCATTGTCAACAAATCAAAAAAGAAATGCACAAAGTGCCAATTCTATTTCACAATCTGCTACGCATGTTGGCTGAGAAGAGTGTTGGATGGGTTTTATATGTAGAGATTTATTTAGGCCAGTACAAATAGAGATTGAGGTGGGTAAAAATGGGGTGGAATAGTATTGTAATTTATAGGATATGTACAAATTTAATGTTTTATGTTGAAGTCTTGCTTGAATTCAATGAAACTATTACTGAGACGAAGCAACTTTGCAATTAGGTTGGGCTTTTTTACTGGTTTCAACTAACCCAAGCAACGGTTGTTTTTATGTAACTTTGGTAATAAAATCTGTTTTTTTTTTAAGTTTTATAGAGGGACAACCCATTAGCTTTATTACAAATTTATGCTATGGTTTGTTGGAATTGCATTGTCATACTGCAATTGATCATGGATTCTTCTATAGAGAGCAATGAATTTTTATTTTTTTTGGTTGCAAGCTAAATCTTAGGATCTCAATTTTAAAAATAGATATCAAAGGCTCATCAATTCTCCAAGTTGATGAAATGAAATTTCCATCCTGTCATATATAAATGAATTTTCCCCAAGTTGAATTAAATAACAACCCATTGATTTAGAGCATCTCCAACCACACTCAGTAAAATAGCTACTCAAAATATATTTAAATATTGAATTCACTACTTTAGCTAGCTATTTTTAAAAATGCACTACAATCACGCTCTCTATTTTAATCAACTACTTCAACTAACTTCAACTAACTTTAACTAACTTTCAATAATATAATTCAAAAATGTCACGTGACGTAACACTTAAGCGTCATAATGATGACATGTCGTACCACGTCATCAAATTTTAAATTTTACAACGGTCATATTTTCAATAGTCATACATTATTCAAATGGTACCCAACAAGTGCATACATTATAATAATTTTATTTGAGTTATAATTTTTTTTTTTTAAGAAAAAGAAAAAATTTTATTTCATAAACCCAAAAATTACAAGAAGCAAATTTTAAACTGTTACCACAAGAAAGTAACAGTTTAATAACCAAAACAAAAAAATTGTACAAAAACAAAAAAAACTGTTTTTGTTATCCACAAAGTTCTGTACAGCAACTATTTTTAACCTTGCAGCATAGCTCCTGCGCTGTCTGACCACTGTAGCTCTCAGCTCCTCAGTAGCAGACATCAGCAATCTGCCATAGCAACTCAGTATCCCAGCAGCACATCAGTTACAAAATAGCAGCAACAATCCACCTCACAAGTCATCTACATAAGCAGCTTAGCAAACAAATTCATCTATCCAGCAACCAAAGCAAAAACCACCTCAGTTCCTGCCAGAATGCAACTTTAGCAGCTCCATCAAGCTGAAATGTAGTCAAAGACCATGTTCCTTCTCAGTGCAGAAATCAGAACAGCCCTTCTGTCTTCCACTTCAGCTCCTGCCTTACAAACAGCACACCCTGCTACAAATACAAAAATTGTTGGAAAGACAGCATTCATCATAATAGACCTGGGGAGGGCAACTAATCCAAACTGACAGACTGATCAACACAAAGTCTGCACCCTGAAACAATAGAAGAATGCCGACAAAAGTTGGCGTTAATCCTTCAAAAGGATTAAAAATATTTCTAACCAGCAGCTAAACTCAGCTCATAGCTCTGCAATACAACAACACCAGCTCAAAGAATCTGAAGCATCAACCTTACAGTCTGATGCACCAAACCATCCAAACCTCAACATCCCCTTATAACAACACATCACAAAAAAACTATTACATGTTTGCTCAGCTCCTGCTACAACTGCAGACAAGCTCATTCTCAACACAGGTCAGCTTAGCAAACAGCAGCCCACACCACAGTTCTAGCAACAGATAAACAGTCTCCCACACCACATCTCCAAATTAGCAATCAACAGCAGCAGCTCAACAATTAAACAGATCAGTTACAATGCTTCTACCAATTGCCCAGACAAGCAATTAAACAATCAACACAGTATAGTGCAAATCAAAACAGAATGCTCAGATTGCACACGCCAATTGCCTAAACACCAAATCATCAGACAAGTCCTCCTCAACTGAAAAGTTGCCGCCTCGAACCTTTTTGGTGGTGGATTCTATTTGAGGTGGCATTGGTGAAGAATGACTTATTTGATCTACTGATTGAATGTTAAACCCATCCACATTTGTTCCGTCGTTCAAGAGATTGGTGAAGTAATATACATGTTCATCCATAAGAAAACCTACATTGTTGATGAAAAAAGTTTAAAAGAAAGGTGCATAACTAGTAGTGGAAGATTGAAACATCAAAGATGTAAGTTTGACAGCAATAGTTTCCTTCTCAATGCCATATAACCTTATAATTATCTATGAGTTCTTAGTTCCCATATCATGCACTTTTCTTCCCACATCGACAAAGCACACAATTAATCAAACCATATGGACATCAACCAGTAGAACATAGCTCCACTCATTTTTCAAACCATAAAACTTCACCATCAGCATTACTTGAAAGTAAAAATAAAGAACATAACGCAAGTTTCCTCTCCACACCAACCAAAACTTGCCAATCTTGTGAATATATTGATTATTTCCCAATCTATTCCTCATCACTCAGATGTTCAAACCAAGAACATGTCCTTAAGCCCCTTCTTATTACACATAAGATCATAATATACTTATATTCAACGTATTTATACATAAATATGTATATACCTATGGGTTGTGGTGTAGCGGTACAAGCTACCAAACTAAGAACTATGAACTTGTGGATTTGAATTTGCAAACCCAATCAAAAATTTAATCATATTGGACAATAAACTTAAATAAATCGATCAATTACTACATGAAAAACCCAACACACAAAACAGAGTATACATACAAAACTAACATGTTATACAAAACAGAGTATAATAAACACAGGTTTAGCTTTTTCTTTTGTCACTATGAACCACAAGATCACATTACAGTTTAAGTGCTCAAACATTTTTTCAGACTACTTAGTCTACAGTGGAAAAGCGCACCAGATATATGAAAAGAAGATTCAGTAATCTATCTCCAGAAAACTAATTAGAAAGCCAAATGTGTGCATGTGGAACATACAGGCACTAATTCTTCAACTGAAACTAAAATGTGATCAAGGCAAAACTGAAACAAAAACTAGGGATTTTGTCCAAACCGTCAGAACTCAAGCAATCAGTCAAAGAACCAAAACAATCGTTAGCCCAAAACCAAAACAATCACTACCTGAGAGTGCAGAAAGACTGTGTGAGAGAGACGAGTGATGAAATACCTTTGAAGTAAAATCTTAAACCCTTCTTGATTGACGATGTTGGCCACGAACAGCAATCGACGATGGTGGTAGGGAATCTGGTGACTCCTGCGACGCTCCACCAATGGAGTGAGTCTGAGAGTGCAGGGAGAGAGCTCTGATGAAGAAGAATGGCATAAAACTCTGATGAAGAACAACTAAAATTAGGAGAGAAAGCTCTGATGAGAGAGAGTGTTGCTGGCTACAACTGATGAGTGAGAATGAAGGGAGGCAGAGTAGCGAGCGATTTGTTGAGCCAGTTGGAGCCAAATTTTTTGGATTGGCTCAGCAAAATAGCCAAAAGGTGTCCTTTGTTGAGCCGGTTGGAGTTGCTCTTAGAGTTGAGATAATGTCTCATTTTGCACTGAAAATTTTCTCCAAAACCAACTTGTGTTGACCACCATTGCATCAGCTTAATGTAACAGTTGGATGTGGAATCACATACATATCATTAAACCAAATTTCAATAAAAATGGTATATTTGGATTAAAAAAAAATAACAATGACATATAAATCAACAACACAATTAGTGAAAATCAAATAACAAACTAACAATGTTCCATTTATAAGAACTTCCCATCAATTAAATGAAAAAAGAAAAAAACCAGAGGCAAAGCCCTAATTTTTGCACCCCACATGGTGTCTGCTTCAAATCCAATACGGTGTACAGCAAAAACTCACTCTGTGAATTTTTCAAACAGGTGGTGTACTCAACTATCTGTCTTAAATTATTGGAATGGAATCAAAACCACCTCTATGGACCTTTTGTCTGCACTCTTCACCTTTGAAGTCCATGTTCTGATTACAAAATAACATGGACAAAATAATCAACAAATACAATTTTCTCCTTCATTTCATATATAAAAGTCTATTGCCATCGCCAACAAACAACATTTGCAATTAGTCAAAAATAAGAAATTCCATCTGTCTTCATCTTCTTCTTCTCTATGTTTTTATTTCTATGAAACTCTGAAATTCTTCATGAAAAATACTAAACTCTTGAATCAACCTGGAAAGAAAAAAATACTAAACACTTTCAATTTTGTGGTTTATTCATGGCCAAAAATTGCCCTTACATGATTTCTCATTTTAGAGAGAAAGACGATTGCTTACCTTTTCCTCCACCCAAACAACCTGGGAATGTCCAGATCTCCACCTAGATTCACCCTTGATATCCAGAGAAAGAGAACCAAATAGTGGGTTAGAACTATGGTGTGGTAGTGGGACGGAGAGGAAAGATTTACAGAGAGACAGAAATGGTGAGGAGAGATGGATTTTGAATTTTAGAGTTTTTGAAATTTGAAAAGAGTTAAATTTGAGAACAGATGGCAGTAGTTGTCTTTTTTTCTTTTTTTTTTTTTTTTTTTTTTTTTTTTTTGAGTTTGCTCTATTAACTTTTCGTTTATAAACACAGTCGAGTGGCTGAGTTGACTAGTTTAAAAAAATTTCTGACTAAATAGTGACAGGAAAACATTTATTAGCCATGCACACCACATTTAATAGTCATACAAAAAATTCTCAATCCACGAGCTTTCTTCTTCTTCTGCTGCTTCTTCGCTCTTCAATCTCTGTCGAAACAAAAATGGAACAGAGAAAAGAAAACATAGTAATGTTCCCATTCATGGCACAAGGCCATATAATTCCATTCTTAGCATTAGCCCTCGAACTAGAACAAAAGGTTTACACCATAACCTTCGTCAACACCCCTCTCAACATCAAGAAACTCCGATCATCTCTCTCATCCACCTCCACCATTCGCCTCCATGAAATCCCGTTCAACAGCTCCGATCACGGCCTCCCTCCCCGTTGCCAAAACACCGACGTCCTTCCCCACCACCTCATAACCCACTTCCTCACAATCTGTCCCTCTCTTGAACCCTCCTTCAGAAAGCTGCTGTCCGATCTCATCCAAGAAAACGGCGGCGTTAAGCCTCTGTGTGTGATCGGAGACTTCTTTTTCGGGTGGTCGGCCGGCGTAGCCCATGAGTTCGGGGTGTTTCATGCAATATTCAGTGGCCGCGGCGGGTTTGGATTAGCTTGTTACTACTCTACGTGGTTGAATTTGCCTCACAAGAAAACTGATTCATCTGAGTTCACTTTACCGGATTTTCCAGAAGCCGGAAAAATTCACCGGACTCAGCTGACGCCGAGTTATTTGTCGGCGAGTGACACTGATCCTTCCACTCTATTTCAATGGAAAAACCTTCCGGTGTGGTCCAATTCTGATGGGTTTTTGTTTAACACAGTCGAAGAGCTTGACAAAACTGGATTAACATAAATTAGGCATTCCAATTTGGCCGATTGGGCCTATACTTTTATCAGTGGAAGGCAGAGCTCGAGCTGTTAAAGTATCAGGAATTTCTGCTGAGTAAGTCATTGAATGGCTTGATACAAAACCACTTAGCTCAGTTCTGTTCATATCATTCGGGTCACAGAGCACAATCTCAGCATCACAAATGATGCAATTAGCAAAAGGGTTGGAGAAAATTGAGAATAATTTCATCTGGGTGGTTAGACCACCATTGGGTTTTGACATTAAAGCTGAGTTTAGAGCAGAACAATGGCTGCCGGAAGGATTTTTACAGCGAGTTGATGATCAGAAAAAGGGTTTAATTGTCGAAAATTGGGCACCCCAAATTGAAATTTTGTCACACAAATCTGTTGGGGCGTATATGACTCATTGTGGATGGAACTCGGTGCTGGAATCGCTGAGCCATGGTGTGCCATTGCTGGGTTGGCCAATGGCGGCTGAGCAGTTTTTCAATGCCAAGTTTTTGGAAGAAGATGTTGGAATTTGTGTTGAAGTGGCTAGAGGGATTGAGTTATAGTGGAGAAGATTGAGTTGGTGATGAGTGAGAATGAGAGGGGACATGAAATAAGGACGAAAGCTTGTGAGGTTCAGGAGATGATCAAGGATAGCATTAGAGATGAGGAGGAGTTCAAGGGGTCTTCTGTGAAAGCCATGGATGAGTTCTTCAAAGCTGTATTGTTGATGAAGGAGAATAACTAGGTGTGATTCATTATAAAAAAGGGTATGCGAGTATAAAATTATGCCCACAGAAAATGGCTCCTTTCCGGTGAAGTAGTTAAACCACAAACCATACTTCATCAGAGCAACTACTGATAGATTTTTAATCCTGGATCTACATCAGTATCTTATCAAACAAGGTATATTGTTGGCTTAGGGGATCATATTAATTTATTTATGTGAGACCCATTAGATCAATCATCCTGTTCATTTAGGAACAGTTTTGGTATATGGAATTTTAGTAAGGAAGGTCACTTGAACATTTCCTTCCTGTATTTGTAATTCATTGTCTACGAAGTGTTTGAGTTGAGTTGTGTTATAATGTGGTCGGAGAGTGTTATTTTGAATTCGTCTTGAAAATTAATCACTCCGCACCGAGCATATCTGATCCACTGTGTTTGATAGCAAGATATTAATTTAATCTATTTGTCAATCGTGTCCAACCATCCAAAACTAGAATTACCACCTTCTTTTTTTCTTTTTTTTGTTATGTGTTGACTCTTACACCATGTCAACTTCGGTATTTGGAGAATTCTTTTGGCAGCCCCTATATTGAGATACTAAGTCATAACTCGTACAATATAATAAAGTTCAAAAAATTTATTTATATAATAAAGTACAATATAATTTAAATTTCAAAAGATAAATAAAATGACATTTATTTTTTGCGGTTAAGATATCAGCTGAACTCTGCTGGGTTTAATGTACGGGAGAAAAGAGAAAAACCAAAGTTTCTTTCGCCGATTCTCGGGGTTCATCGATCGGATTCTGTTGAGCTAAGAATTAAAGTCAATCACCTCAATGAGTGTTACGTCTACGTACCAAGAACGAGGGATTTTACCGAAGATTTCAAGGAAAAATTTTGAAAAAATCAAGGCTTGGAGGTTTTTGTGGGTGTTCTTGAAGTTCTAGCATTCGATTTACACTTCAAGAGGTAGGGTTCTTCCTACCTTTTTGTATTTCTAACCTTTGATGTCCATAGGAAAAAAGGCTAGATGTATATATGACTTATAACTTGTATATAGTTATGGAAATGAGAAAATGAGCATGAAAATAGCTTAGGCTAACTTATAGTTTGAGTTTGATGCATGATAGTTACTTATGTAATCTCTTGTAACTTGGTAATTATGTGGACTGTTTTATGGACTGATTATGGGGTTATTTTTTATGGACTGTTTTGGACTAATTTTATGGACAGTATATTGGACTGTTTTGTGCACTGCTATGGGACTGTTTTGTGCAATACTAGGGGCTGTTTTGTGGCTATTTAGGGGCTGAAATTGTGGGCTGTTAAGGGGCTAAAATTGTGACTGTTTTGGGTTGAAATTGTGAACTGTTTTGGGTTGAAATTGTGAGCTGTTATATGGCTTGTTTAAGGGTTGTTTTATGGCTTGTTTCAGGGACGTTATGTGGCTTGTTTAGGGGCTATTATGTGGAATGTTTGTAGGCTGCTATGTGAGCTTGTTATATGTCCACATTATGCCTTGAGAATTAAGGGTGTTATTGCTTGATTATGTAGTAACATGCTTAGGAATTGTGTTGAAAAGAAATGTTGATATATGTGTATTAATATATTGACTTTGTGATGAGTTTTTGGAGATTATATGCATATGATATAATTGTTCATGATAAATGATGAAATGTGTGATTTAAGTTGTTCATGTGACATTCATTACATATTAAACATGACATTGACATGCAATGGTACATTACATTACATATGCACAGGGACATCGCATTCCATGGGTGTGAGTGCATAGTTGAAAGCAAACACCACATTTGGTGATTGATAAGTGGACTCGGTACTGTTGGATCAAGGTTCAACAAAGTCGCATGGTTGCATGACATGAAAAACTTGTGTCGGATATATCAAGAAGAGCTAGACACGTCCTCGGGTGCAAGGATCGGCTACTGGTTTTATACACTTCCTAAGATGTAAGTCCAAAAAAGTGTATCAGTTTGTGGAGCCAGTAGTGCGACACCAAAAGTCCGCTACCCAAACAAAGACACATGATTTTATTTTATAATGATTTCATTTGATGAGAAACATCCATGAATGAAGTGGTTTTATAAATATATAGTTAGTATTTTAAAAATGATCATTAGATGTATTTCATCGAATTTTATTATACATTGACATTGCATTATGTGGTGGGAGTTGGTGAAAACTCGAGTTATGATGCATGAGTGAGTTTCATCTCATTTCATAGCATGGTATGGTAGAATTCTAACCTAGAATTGCATATTTTTACTTGAACGTTAATGTGAATATGAAATGTTGAATGTGAACATTGTATGTGCACTTAGGTGGGGAGTAGCCTCTGTAAGAAATACTCTATTAGGCGTGGCTCACCCTATAGGAAAAATATTTCAAGTGCGGGATATACACCGATGGACAGCTCTCATTTGGGGCTGCAAGGGTGAAGAAGGCCGACTTGTGGCTTTTATAACTCCTTTTATAAAACTTTTGGAGCAAACTAGTTTTGACATGTAATTTTATATAAGAGTTGTAATTGAACTTATATGGACTCGTTTTAATATAACATTGCATGTTTTTATATGAGAATGGATAAATGGACCTAATGTGATCAATGTTTACTCATAAATGGACCCGGTATAGTCATTATTCCATATTAGGCCTCGGATGGATCATATGAATGTATATTGGACAGGTTGGGTTTTGGGTAAAGCTCCCCATACAAATGAGACTCTTCCCAAATTTTGTTAAATTATAAATCCTGGTAAATGGGACATTACGGTGCGATATCGAGTTACTTGGTATCCACGGGTATTTCACGGGTTGATGGGTGATCAACGGACCCCCGGATTTTAACACCCTCACCACATTTACCACCACCACCACTGCTATTTACCACAACCCATCACACAGTCATCCTGAAGCACCCGTCGTTGCCCACCACCACCATCATCACTGCCAACCACCGTCGTTGCCCCCACCACCACCATTACTAACCACCATCACCATCGCTCATAACCACCACCGTTGTCACCCATGACTATCACTACCATCATCGTCACCAAAAATTCTCTACTAGCATCACCATTGTTACCCATGATGGCCACCATCGCCTCAGTCGTCGTCACCCTACCACAACCATCACCATCTCTCACCACCACCACTACCACCGTTCACCTCCACTACAACTGGTGCTTAAATTCTTTTCTTTGCTCTATGTTTATAATTTGATTTTGGGTGTGAATGTAAATATATTTACTGTTGACTATTTTTTTAATTATTTTATGTCTTTAGGGACAGATAATAACTAGTCTATATAATAAAGTACAATACAATTCAAATCTCAAAAAATAAACAAAATGAGTTTTGTTTTTCATGGTTGAAATCTCTTTAAATTTTACTTTAAAATTAATCCGATGACTAATATTAACATCTCAAATTTAATAAAAAAAATAAATCTCTAAAGATATGTTTGTAATGACTTTTTAAAAATGATCATAATGATTATAACTTTTCATGAGTACTTTTAAAAAAATAAATAGTGTTTGAAACCGCTGCATCACCACCACCACTACCACTACCCACACCACCGCCAACCCACCACGACAACTACCCCCTCTACCACCACCATCGCCCCCCCCCCCCACACCGCCATCACCACTACCACCACCACCACCATCGTCGCCGCCACCCCACCACTATCGTTGCCACCCCCTACCACAATTGCCACTGTCCCACCACCACTATTATCCTACAACCACCCCCCACGACTATCACCACTATCACCCCCCACCGCCCCACAACCATCACCATCGCCACCCCATTACCAATTACTACCATCGTTGTCCATCGTCACCACCTATCACCATTATCATCTTATTTTTATATTTGTTACCATTAGTACCATCATCCCACTACCACCATCACCCACTACCACAAACCCACCATCACCCATTGTAACCTAGCACTGTCACCACCCACTATCATGCACCCCCACCACACTTACCACCACCACCACCACAACCATAGTCATTTCCCACCATCCATCACACTATCATCTAGAAGCACCTGTCATTGCGCATCATCACTGCCAACTACCATCACCGTTGCCCACCACCACCACCAATATCACTCATAGCTGCCACTACCACCATGGCACCCAAAACCCACCACCATCACCACGGTCATCATCACCCACCATAACCATCATCATCTCCCACCACTACCACTATCGCCCACCACCTCTATCACTACTCACTCAATTACAATCGGTGTTTAAATTACTTTCTCTCTTTGTTATATTTGTAATTTAATTTTGAGCGTGAATATAAATATGTTTATTGTTAACAATTTTTTTATTACTTCGTGCTTTCATGCACAAGAAATAACTAATTCCACTATATTAAATAATAATTTTTCTTTCATTCATTTCTTTGATTACATCATTTAAAATATATAGTCATCCATTATTTTCTTTAAAATATCAACAATTTTTTTAAATACGTAATTCAATAAAATTTTCTTAACATATGTATATATATTGCGTATGAATAATATTTAATATAAAAATTATATTAAATTATAAATTAATCAAATATTAAAATAATTAGACATATGATAAAAATGAATGATATGATATTTTAAAAAAAAATATGTAAAAAATAAAATTCAACTTGTAAACTATCTTATTATATGGATGAGTCTTTAATTGTTTGTCTTACAATACAAGTTGATATTATTATTTAACTGGGACAATGCTAGTTATGTCCAGCACGTGAGAGACTTGGGGAAGAAAGAGTTTCACTTCGAATAAAGTTCTCCCAAGCTACATACTACTAAATGATTCAAGGCTATTGATTTTTCATAAATTATTTAAAATTATTGATAAGATATTTAATTTTTTACCGGTAACCCATTGATTCAGTTATTAAAAAATGTTGATAAGATATTTAATTTTTTACTGGTAACCCATTGATTTAGTTACTTAGTAGCTGCTGAGAGAAAAATGCTAAAAGAAAAGAATTATTATAAATAATTATGTTTTAAATTAGTTAATGCATTTTTTTTTTTACAAAAATCAATAAACGATAGAATTATTATAAAAAATCCATTGAGATGAATGCAACTTTTTTAATAAAGAAATTCAATGTACAGCAGAATTATTATCGCTTTATGAGGATAAATTATCACTTTTAGGGTAGGTTACCACTTTTGGAAGGAAAATTACCACTTTTTAAGAGTAATTTACCATTTTTTGAGAGATAAGATTACCACTTTGTGGGGTATTTTGAATCAATCATGTTTTACATGACCAAACTTCTTACATCAAGACCGGTCAAATAATTGATCTTGTTACAGATCTTGTGCAACAATCAATAGGAACGGTTTTGCTACAGTCGTAGCAGTATTACGATCTGTCTAAATATAAAATGGATAATTATCCTTTACTCCTGCGTTGGATAGACATACTTTCAATCAAATCTCAAATAATCTTTGTACGTACACATTGAATAAAATTCAAGCCGATTATTTTTTTTTACCATATTAAAATTCATTTTTTTTTACAAATATTTAAGATGATTGAGCTGATCAAATTTTATTTTTTTTTTACGAATTTTAAGTTTATTAAAATGAAATTGAATGTTAATTTGATTAATTAGATGAATTTTCATGTTACTTTGATATTGATTTGATAAATTGAATCTTTATTAGATGATTTAAGATGTTAATTTAATTAATTGAGTTTTAATTGGATGAATTTGAAAATAAATTGAATGAATTGAATGATAATTTGACATTAATTTGATGAAATAAGTGTTAACAAGATAAAATTATTGTTAACTAATTGAATTTCAATGTTAATTTAATGAATTGAATATTTATTAAATGACTTAAATGTTAATTTAGTGTTGATTTGATAAATTTAATGTTTATTAGATAAATTGAATGTTAATTTAACAAATTGAATGCTAATTGAATGATATTTAATATTAAGTTGATGAGTTCAATGTTAATTAGATGAATTTGGAGATTAATGTGATGTCATTTTTCAGAATTATAAGTTAATTGAATACTTTATAGATAAAACCTAAAAAATTGATATTTTAGATATGAAACTCACAGAATGTCTATCTTTTAGAGATAAAAGTGTTATTAACCACCTATTAGGAAATTAAGATCAATAACGTTTGTCATGACTAGGGCCATTAGTCGAATGAGTTCGAGTTGAGACGACCGATCTTGATTTGGTAGATTAATAACAAATTTATCCCTAAATGATAGCCGTTTTATTAATTGGTCCCTATGGTATGAATTTTATCAATTTTATCTCTAAAATATTTAATTAACATATAATTAGTAAATTGACATTACATTAACACATTCAATTTATCAAATTAATATTCAATCAATTAAATTATCTAATTAACATTCAATTAATATCCAAAATCATCTAATAAAAATTCAATTTATCAAATTAAAATTAAACTAACTTTCAATTCATCCAATTTATATTCAATTTATCAAACTAACATTCAACTCATCAAATTAACATTCATATTCATTCGATTAATACTCAATTCAACAAATTAACATCTGAAATCATTGAATAAAGATTTAATTGATCAAATTAACACTAAAGTAACATGCAATTTCATCTAATTAATATTTAATCCATCAAACTAATATTCAATTTCAACTATTAAATACTCAATTCATCAAATTAACATTCAAATTCATCCAATTAACACCAAATTAACATTCAAGTCATCCAGTTCATATTCAAACTCATATAATTAATACTCAATTCATTGAATTAACTTTCCAAATCAAACAATAAAGATTCAATTTAATAAATTAACATCAAAGTAACATGCAATTCCATCTAATTAATATTTATTTCATCAAATTAACATTAAATAACATTAAATTTCATCTAATTAACATTCAATTTCATCTAATAAGCATTTAATTCATCAAATTAAGATTCAAATTCAACTAGTTAACATTAAATTAATCAAATTAACTTTCAATTTCATTCAATTAATATTAAATTCATAATATTTAACACTAAATAAATATTCAATGCATCAAATTAACACTAAATCAACAAATTTACTTCAAAAATCATCCAATAAAGATCAAATCTGTCAAATCAATGTCAAAGTAACATATAATTTCATCTAATTAATATTCACTTCATCAAATTAACACTAAATTGATATTAAATTCACCAAATTAATATTCAATTCTATCTATTAAACATAGAATTCATGAAATTAACATGCATCAAAAAGAGGATGCGAACTTCAATGAAAAATTTTCACTAGCTGTGATAGATAGCTCTATTTGTATACTTCTTATCATGTTTGTTTTACTCAATCTAGATTTTAAGCAACCTAATGTAAATATATTTTTTCTAAACGGTGAATTTGAAGAAAAAACTATTTACATGTATCAAGCAGAGGAATTTATTGTTCAAGCTAAAAAAGATAATGTTTGTTTGTTGAAAAAATCATTATATGATTTGAAACAGTCTCCAAAGCAGTGGTACAAACGTTTTGACACCTTTATGATTGTTGTCTGTATCATAGACAGTTATCAGATAATTCTTTTATATAATTATTACTTTATGTGAATGACATGCTTATTGCTGCTAAAAGCATGTTAGAGATTAACAAGTTGAAGAAACATTTGAGTTCAAAGTTTAAGATAAAAAATTTGAGAGCTGCAACAAAAATTTGAGTATGGAAATTCTTAAGGATAGAAAAGAAAGTAAGTTTTATTTATCTCAACAAAAAAAAATATTGAGAAAGTTATTGAGTAGTTTTGAATGCATAATTCGTAGCCCGTGAGTACTCTATTTGCCACTCATTTTAAACTTTCAACAGTTATATCATTACATAGTGAGAATGAGGAGCAATTTATGTCTTATGTTCCTTATTTTAGTACAGTTGGGAGCATCAAGTATGTTATGGTTTGCACTCATCCAGAAATTTCACAGGTAATTAGTGTGGTTAGTCGTTAAATAGCTAATCTTGAGAAGGTTCATTAACAGACTGTGAAATAAATATTTTGTTATTTGAGAGGCACTACAGATGTTGGCTTAGTTTTTAATATAAAAGATAGTTTTAATTCTATTATTGTTGGTTATATTGATTTAGATTATGCGAGTGATCTAGATAAGAGGAGATCTCTGACAGGTTATGTTTTTACTCTTATTTGGGCACACTGTAAGTTGGAGGCACAATCCTACACTCTACAGTATCTTTATTTACCACAGTGGTAGAATACATGGCAAGTTATGACTCAAGGTATTATTATAGTGAAAAAAATTGCTACAATAAAGAATTCAACAGATCTGTTTACTAAATCGATACTAGTGCCCAAGTTCGAGCATTGCTTGAACTTAATTGGTATTTTTCACTGTTTGAGTTTTACCTTGCGAAATATTTGACGAAAACAACAATCAAGTTTACATTGGTTGAATAGCTTGTTAGAATACAAGTCATGGTGAAAATTTGTTACATGTTGACTTGTATTCCATGTCAACTTCAGGGTTGTAATTGGAGAATACTTTAGGCAGCCCATATTGAGATATGGCTCTTTAGTGTTTGTATTAGAGTACAAGTTGATATTATTATTTTATTGGGACAATGCTAGCTATGTCCAGCACGTTATGGACTTCGGGAAAAAGAGTTTGACTTCAAATAAAGTTCTGTCAAGCTATACAAATAGGTCCCAAAAAAAAGCTTGAATGAAATAGGACGTCTTGTAATGTCATGGGTGATCTTGAATGAACTAGGACGTCTCCTCATGTCATGGGTGATCGAGGCTGGGTTGGTTCCTTATCAGTCAAAGTAATAACTAGTCCTAATCTTTCTAATTTGTGTTTTCTTAACGTATCCTCATATTCTATAGAAATTTCTCACCCCTGGTTTTGAGAATGGGGCGAGCTTAATGTACACTGCTATCATTGGCTTAAAGCAATTGATGAACATGAGAATTGAGAAGGAAGAAACTTCTTAAACTGTAAATTAAATTTCTTAAACTGTAAATTAAATATCTCTTCAGTCGTCTACCATGAGTTTACATATGAAATAAATGCGGATTAACCATCAACACCAAATGCATATATACGTAGTGACAGACCATAAACTTCACGATAAACAGTGGACTGGGCGTTTGTACAAGAATATTGGCTAAAACATATAGCAATTTGTCTGGTTCGTGACACCAAAAAAAAAAAAATAAAATATATATATATATATATATATATATGAAAATGGGCTATAGAAAAGAATGCATAATCAGGAAACAAGTGAACTTCCGCTATCATTCCACCAAAAACTAACCGAAAAACTTGTAGTGAGAGATCGGATGTAGTGCCACCATTTTGGAGGGATATACAGCATTTCACCCTCCTCTAAAATGCAATCAAGAAATTCCAAATCCTGCATCTTTGGAAACTCGTCTCCGTCTATATTGTCCAAATCAACCTGCAAAAAAAATTCCACATTTTGCATCCGAAGGAGTATAGGAGAAGACATCATGATTATAAATGTAGTAACGAGAAGAGCATGAAAAAGGGAACCATAAGAAAGAAAGGGCAGGAAAAAATTGCAATAAAGCCTAGAAAGTTTAAGAGGTCCATTACTCAATTAAAAAATGGAATAAACAGTAGAGTAAAATTAGAAAGAAAAAAAAATTTAACAAAAGTAGGATCCCAAATCTTCAAATCAGTTGCAAAGATCACGCCACGCCATTCAACTCTATCTAGGGCCATACTTTTCTAGCAAAACATATATAATATCTTTTCTCACTTCTTCTACCCACATGGGCATTCTGCATTTCATATTGAATCTACTCATCCCTGACTAGTGCACATATTGGGAAGAAGCTATTGTGGCCAACAATCTTTCATTTTTGCAAAAGTGGTACAATCTTCCCATTTCAAAGGCGCATCCATTTCCTACATTTAATCTGTATTTCCATCAGTTATCTCACTAGGTATTACGACATGCTGGGTTGCAAATGGGACCTTTTTTCTTCACCACCTCGAAAGATAAACACTGCTCCCCAGACACATGACATGGCAGGGCAGCGTGAAATTTCAAAACAGGGAAAGAGGGAAGAGGGGGCAAGGAGGTTTCGACAGAAATCATTTAAAGCTGCAAGTAGATAGTTTATGGATGTCAAACTTACAGGTTTTAATGGACAGGTAAAACTTGGTCATGTTCCAAACAAACCCACCCCCCAGAAAAGAAAAAACATATTTTGAGGTCAAAAACCATGGCTTACAAGTAAGAAGACCACTACGTACCAAATTGAACTCCAAGTTCTTAGTTGAGTTATTTCCGTGTTCTTCGTGTGATGTACCACAGGAACCCCGACTAATGGCTCATTTTTTTTTTTTTTGAGCAGTCAACTAATGGCTCATTAGAATGCAGCAAATATAAAAATATACTTTGAGAATTGCAAGTACCAAGAATGCAGCTACCTGGCTGGTATTGCTAAGCATGGTTTCAGGGTGTGGGTATAGCTCCTCCGATATTGAAGCAGGGTAAAGCCTTATGTATTTCCTGCCAACAACCTGAAATTGAAGGTGAAAGGTTATTCACAATGCATATGTGCGAATCTAATGTCATCTAACAGCAATCGGAAAATGCCAGAAAGGGAAGCCAATGTGTCAAAATTTGAGAACCCTGTTATCAACTTATATCATGTAGTGTACGTGGTTTCCCCAGCTCTGGGAGAATGTAATCTTCACAATGCTAGCCGTCAGCACTCTCGCTAGACTACATTATTTCACAAGTAAATTATCAATAATGATATCAAAGTGCATTCAAATTATAGGAAGAAAAAAGGTGCCAAAAGGCCCACTAAGAATGCATCAAATCAACATAATCCCAGAAGGAAACTTTTTAAATCTCTTAGAAGCATCAGTCAACGTTATGGAAGAAGCCTCGGGTAATGACGAACATTAAGTCCCTACCTTCCAAGAAGAACGATTAGTCCCTCTGAGCTGGATCAAGAAAAAGTGACCTAAACATTAATTACGCACCCAAATTCAACACGACTTTTGTCCAAACAGGGAAGCTGGAATCAATATCTACCTAGACAGGTGGAGTTATGTCAACCAACGCAGTCCCACACCAGCTGCTGAGATATGTTGCTTAGTTTTTTCTATAATTTTTCAGAGGTACTTGAATAACATTGTATAATAAGAGGAAAGACCAATATGTTTGTACCTCCAAGGCTCTTAATTCAGCTGCATGAACTCACATTGTGAATCTTTAAAATTCAGTTAACAGATGCCTAAAGTCACTTATAATTTCACACAGCACACAACAGACGTACCAATGCTTAAATTCTCTTCAATCTTTCCTAAGAGACAATGGAGTATTTTGGATCAATGGAGATGAGATGGATTCAAGTTGCAGGTCCAGTGTTAATACGTAAATTCAAAACAAGCATCATATATGAACAAAACGAAGTTCATAATAATACCAAAGACAAAAAAAGAAAAAAAGAATATATGTCGTGCGATCTTTCACATCAAAACATTGTTCTTTCAAAAATTAATTCTGACCTACATAATTGTTAGACTGAAAGTATGGTCATTGGAAGGTTGAAGGGAATTCAAAAATAAAAAGCACCTTCACTTCTACTCAAAAGGCATCTTCATGCTATCAATATCCATTGTTGAGAACTAAACCTGAAATACCTGAGCAAGAATATTATGGTGCGGATCATGGTGCAATGGTGTCACTGTCCCAGATGGGCCAAACCAAGCATTGAGCGACCTGAGCTCACCACCACCAGCATAACAATAGTCGGGAATAACAATGTCCTTCCTTAGCTCTTTTATCTGTCATTTCAAAACAAATTTCACAACTAAAATACTGTAATATAAAGTCCTAATGTTACATGCTACACTTCCACCTTATAACATCCATATAATATGGTGTGCTTGCCTGGTCAAACAATGGATGCTGAGCCAAATATGTAGGCACAGAATGGTCATCGGATTGGATCCTCTCTAGAAACTCAGAAAATGTAATTAGCTCTTGCTTCCACTCTGAGGATACATAGTTTTTCCCAACCTGCAAGACATTCCGAATTTCAAAAGTTTTAAAGCATCTATAACATAGGAAAAAGCACCCACAAAGGGGTAAAGAGAAACCCGGAAGATGATTCCATATAACTCCCAAAAATAGGGACTTAAGAAGTCAATCTTCATATTTCAAACAAATTGACACTGACATCTTGGTTCATAGAATCTTGAGAGAATCATGGATGGTCAAATAGGCTAAACCCAGTTGGTATTTATGAAATATTTGTTGACGGCACAATCGCCACACTGCATGATAGGAGATTAAGGAGACAGTTACGGGGGTAAATTATCCTCGTAGTTTGTTCACCTGCTTGTTGAAAGCCTATATCAAACCATCAAAAGAAAAGAAGATATAAGTAGAAGAGACAAAGATAAAAAATAAGTATCTGTTGCTCTCTGATCGTTCATAATTAGAGGTGTTAATCGAGACGAGCTATTCGGGCTCAATTCAGATAAGACTCGGCTTGAACTCGACTAGTGTCCAAGTTAAGTTCGCAAAGCTCGGCTCATTTATATGTAAAATAGTTGAGCTATTCAGGCTCGGCTTGAGTTCTAAATAAGCTGAACTTGAACAATTTTTTAGACTCACTTAGAAAAACAAGTTTGTCAGGCTCAGGCTTGCAAAGTTCGACTCAATTAACACTCCTATTTTTAATAATGAAAATTAAGTGCAAGAGTAAATATAAAACCCTACATTAAAGAAAACTAAGCAATCCCTAATGAAATATGCAAAGCCAACAAATAGTTATAAACTACACACCAAGTTGTTGGTTGTCACCTACTCATCCTCTAGTAGGCCTCACCAAAAAACTCAAAGCCCAATGGGCCGCCCACGGCCCGAAAGCCCAACAGGCTACCTGGCCCGTACAAGTGGCAGAGCTTGGGTAGCCCTCTAGCCCGGTGGGTAGGGCTTGGGCCGTGTTTTTTAGGGCCGGGTGTTCGGCGGACCGGCCCATTAAAAAACCTGTTAACAAGCCCGTTAGCCTGCCCATTAGCCCAATAAAATAATTATAGTGTATATTTCATAATTGTATTGTTTATTTGATAATTAATCTGTAACTTTTATAAGTTGAAACTTACAAATAATTGATACTTGTGTAAGTGTCAACCTAATTAGAATGTACTCAATTTGTAGTGATACAAAATAGTTTCACCCACCAATCAATTTGTAATGTAACATTGTAACTCTATATGAATATTTGTTAAATTTAATCAATATGAATAATTTTTTTGTTAATTTATTTTTTCATACCAACTTCATATAATTGATGTCTGTTTGTATTTTTTATATAAAAAATAAATTTGTCGATGACGTTTTGTATTTTTTTACATAAAAAACCCATTTCAAGCCAATGGACGGGCCTTAGTATTTAGCCCATTTTTGGCCCAATAGGCCTACCCATGAGCCTCAAACGTCCCGTTGACTATTCAAAACCCAGAGGCTTGGCCCATGGCGGACTATGGGCTGAAAAATGTTGGGCTAGGTTGGCCCGGCCCGTTGCCGAGGCCTATCCTCTAGTAAGCTTCTTCAAAATGTCACCTCATTATTGTTAACCCTATACTTGGTTAAACAAAGTTTTAATGATAACAAATATTTTTGTATTACTAATCATCTTCTTGTGAGCTTGTTGAAAGTGTTGCACGGGTTTGATACAAGATGAGAGAGCTTGAAGGTTCAATGTGCTATACTATATATGAAGAAGCAAAAGTGAAGATGTGATGCTTGAAGATGCATATAACGAAGAAAAGTGAACATGGCTAAATAAGGTGATTGAATATAAGAAGATGCAACTACATGAAGAGAATGAGTATCATGGATATAGATTGATTAAAGTAGTTGAAGAACATGGCATGAGAAGCTTCTTCAACAACTTTATCAGTTTGATGTGCATATGAGGACAACTGGAAAAGGTTAAGGATAATTGTTATACGTTCATTATTCAAGTTAATAACTGGATTATCTTGGTTGAAAAAGAAGAGTTGAAAGATCAAGGCAAAGAAGTGAAAGAAACAAGTCAACAAGGAAAAATATTGAAATCGACAATTAACATAGTCTTGGTAATATTAGAATAACTTTTGATAGAGATGTTCAATTGATATGATTCAAATGGAGTTGGCAAGAAGACGTGAAGATCTACAACTTTGTGTGAAATAGAAATTTTGAGATTTAAATGTCTTGAAGGTGAAAGATAACTTAGAGGTTGAAGGTTATGTATGAAGGTTGAACAATCAAGAGTTTCAGATATGTCTCGGTATTTGAGACATAAAGTTCTACTTAAATGTCCAAATGACTTGATTCCAACAAGGTTGAAAAGAAGACATCCCCGTCTACAATTTTGTCAGAAATAGCCTTCTTCAAATTCCAATGTTTTGAGAGGCAAAATCGCATTGGAATAAGGTGACAGTGCACATAACCGGTATGCTGAATGGATGAACCAATATGCTTGTTGGTGAACCGGTATACCTCAATTCTTCCTAATATCTCCCATTTTCAAAGGCTTAAAATGAACCGGTATGCTGATTGGACCAACCGATATGCCAGGATGTATTCGTTGAAGGCTCTAATGACTAGTTTTTAGCTCCTTTGCTTGTCCAATTGCTTCCTCTATGAAAAGGGATTGTGAGGGCTATTGAAGCAAGATTTTTGGGAAGTTCTTGGGAACTTCCTGAGCATTCAAAGTGACATACATATTGAGGAAAATCAAAATTGTGAGATTTGGGCTACAAGGCCAATTGTATTTTTTCTCTCTCTTTGAGTTTATTTGAGTGATTTGTTGCTTGTAAAGAGAGGCAAAAATTATTGTATTGAATGAGTTTCAAGTTATATTGTAAATGTGTGTCTTCACCTATCGAAGAAGACAAGGTTTTAAAGGGTTTGATTTTCACCCATGAAAGAGATCGAAATAGTGAAAGGAAAGCTCCGTGGCGGAGGAAAGAGATTACGTAGGCCACCGTGGTTAGGGCCGAACCTCTATAAATTGTGTTTGTTCTTCTTCTTCCTTACTATTATTTAATTGCATTATCTATATCACATTACTTATCATATAAATTGCCTATCATACAATAATATACGTTGCATACTTGGTATGATTTAAAGAAGCCCAAAATTAGTCACACCCTCTCATAACCTAATTCAACCCCCTCTTATGTTACATTTGGGCCAACATTTATGACTTGTGTTGTTACTCCCCTTTTGAAAGGAAAGGAATTGCCAACTTTGTAAGAATTATGCAGCCTTTGGTGCTTTTGTAAGCATACACCCTTGGGCAACAAAAAAAAATGTTGTCTCCTTGCACTGTCTAGGTTTAGGGCCATGATTCAAAGTTGTTGCATCAGCTATCAACTTGGAAGTCATTGATACTCATCGGGTGCGGCTAAGAAATTTGGCATGACAAAAGATTTAAGCTATATTGCTGCATGGCAGATTGACATCGGCCGATCCGGTGACGATGACTCAAAGTCGGCCAATACTTTGAACCATATTTAGGGCTTAATAAAGCCAAGGCAAGGGTATCCTTAGGAGGTGTATGCAGACTTGAACCATTGGCTTTGAGGGGCAATTTTCAAGATTAGGGATGTTTGTGCTGCCAAACCCTAATCTATAAGCGTGTTATAGTAACATTAATTATATTGTAGCAAAAAAAAATCTATAACCTCATTATATAGTATATACCAATGAAAGTGGTACAAATGCAGGATTGGAAGAGAAGGAAAAGAAAGAAGACAACAATAAGGGGAGCTTACCACATCCACACAAGGATTAAGTTAAGAAACACACAAATTCTCCATAATCAAATACTCAACTCAACAAAGCCTTAATCTCAACTATTTGATGTTGGTTACATGAATCATGTTTATTCATTACACTCTATCAAGGGTCCTATGTTCCGTTAGACCATAAGCTATCATTTTTTTTTACTATTTCGTTCACAGTTATTTTAAACCTATCTCTGCCTCTTGCATTACCTCCAATGGATCAAATCGCTCGTCCTTACCGGTGACTTCAATAAACTCATTTTTAATTATATCTTATTGGTGTTACTTTTACAATTTTATGAATATACTCATTTTTAATTCTATTCTTTCTCGTTTTACCACACATCCATATTTTTCTGATAAGTATGTATAAAAAAAATTCCAGTGAAGTGTTCTTTAGCATGTTATTGAGCACGTCATCTATCTTAACATTCTCATTTTTTCAACACATAGTTTTTGAGCGTGTTATGTCTTAATTGTCAAACATTCCGTCCCATAAAGCATTGCTGGCCTAATGCATGCATTATAAAACTCTCCTTTTAACTTAAGGGGTATACATCGATCACATAATACAACAAATACATTCCTCCATTTATTCCTTTAGACATGTTTAAATCGATACCAATCTCTCTCAAATGCATTCAGAGTTTGATTAAAAATCTATTATAGAGTTTTAGTACGAGAGTAACTTGAGATTTTGATTAGATCACTATTTTGGAATTTTAGAAGAGTGATTTTTATCTGGGTGGGGGGACTTGACCTATAAATATTAATGTAATATCTACTATTTCATGGTCGAGAGTGATATTAATAAAATAATTTCTCTGTGGAGCATCTATGTTTCTTGACCTATTTTTTGTGTTGGTTTGATATCTCTTCTTTTTTACTTTTACCCTTTCTTTTCTCTACTCTCTTCTCATCCTCATTCTTTATCAAGGAGCTTGTGGTGCAAGGACTTGTTCAACCATTCGTTGATGACTGGTGGATAAAGAAAATAAATCAATATCATCCTTGTTCAAACCCTTGTTGATGGGCAACTTAACTCCCAAGGATAGCAACCAACTTGGTTACATTTTCTTTTATTGA